TGGCCAGGCCGGCCTGGGGCCCAGGGTCGGCGCAGTCGACTCAGTATGGGCCAAGCCTGGAGGGCACCCGCGCTTGGCCAGGATCGGTGTGGGCGTTGGCGCCCTCCTCGAGGGAGGAGCGGGCACAGCGGGGCCGGAGCTCGCCAAGAGCCGGCGCTCGGGCCGCCGCGGCCCCAGGTAAGGAGCGAGGCGGCGCGGCGCGCGCCCTCGGATTTTCGTGGTTCTGAGGGGTCGCCGGCTCGGCGATCCGCGCGAGCCGGCCGGGCAGAGCAGGGCTGCTGCAGAGCGCAGTGGCGCACGAGAAGGCGAGGAGAAGGCGAGCGGCGGCCGCGGAGGAGGAGGAGGAGAGGGAGGAGGAGGAGCGAGGACGAGTGAGGAAAAGGAGAAGGAGGAGGAGGAGGAGGAGGAGGAGGAGCAAGGACGAGCGAGGAGACGGAGGAGGCAGAGGAGAAAGACGGGCCACGGAAGCGGAGGCGGGCCCGAGACCCAGGAGGAGGTAGCAGGGAGGGCGAGGAGAAGGCGAGCGGCGGCAGCGGAGGGAGAGGGAAGAAGGGCGGCCCCCTCCAGCCATGCAGGTCCTTTAGCGGCATGCTGCAGCCCAGGCTCTGGAGGGCTCCTCGTCGTCCTCCTCCTATCACCCCCCTCAGTGGAGACTCTAGCAGGTAGCCCCCCGAGGCCTGGCGTCGCCGCCTCCCGTTTTCTCCGGGAGTGCACTAAGTCTTCGAAGCATTTTTCGTCGCCGTTTTTTTTGTCCGGGGTTCCCCAGCGTCCTCCCCGGCGCGGGTTGCGCCTTGCTCGTGGGCCATAAGCCGCGGGGTACCCGCGGGATTAGACATGCGCGAAACCCTTTGGCAATGTTGGCTGCCGCAGAGGTACGTCTACGCAGACCACTTTGAGGCCTCCCTGTCCCCTGGGGGGCTGCGATCTGCGCAACTGTCGCCACTGCCGCAATGTTAGACAGGCCCAGCGGAGGTACGTCTTACGCAGACCACTTTGAGGCCTCCCTGTCCCCTGCGGGGCTGCGATCTGCGCAACCGTCGCCACTTTCGTGGGTTCCTGGGAGGCCCAGCGGAGGCACGTCTTACGCAGACCAGTTTGAGGCCTCCCTGTCCCCTGCGGGGCTGCGATCTGCGCAACCGTCGCCACTTTCGTGGGTTCCTGGGAGGCCCAGCGGAGGTACGTCTCACGCAGACCACTTTGAGGCCTGCTCGGGCGCATTTTTATTCTCATTTTCCGCCCTGCTTGGGCGAGTTTTCGTTTGAATTTTCCGTGCGCCCGGGAGATTCGGCGCGCGGCGTCGCTATTTAATTACACAGAACAATTTTTCTGCTTATGTTTGCGTCGCGAAGGGTTACGGAAATTGCGCTGAAATTCTGAACTGCGTTTGTGCACGACGAAAGGCTGGCGGAAGGGGCGCAGAAGTAAAACAAGATATAAAACGAAATCGAGTTAGAGTTTTCGAAATACGTCATGTATGAACACATTTACACATACACATATACATACACATGTGTGTATATATATATATATACATATACCGGGGAACGGGACCTGGGGCCGCCAGATTGGAACCTCGGACCCCCATGGGGGCCACGGGGCTCACATTCCCTGTGTTTTTACAGGGTTTCGGCGTTCCAGGGCCTCCGAGGCGCCAGCGGCGACCCCAGACCTCTTGTTGACCTTCGGACGGAGGCCCAAAACCAGCCCCAGAGCGCTCCAAGACGGCCCACGACGCCTCCTACACCGCACCAAGACGGCCCCAGAGAGCTCCAAGCGGCCCCCACGACGGCCCAAGAGGCACCGAAAACGGCCCAAAGGAGTTCCGACACGGACCCCGAGAGGTCACAAAAGAAGCTCACAGAGGCCCTCAACATGCCCAGGCCGCCCAAGAGGCCAAAAAAGGCCCCGAGATTGACCAAAACACATCCCACAAGGCTTGACAAACTGCGTCTCACCTTGCTTCTCGTCCGCCTTATAACCTTCCTGCTTCTCTTTTCTTCTGGTTGTCGAGCTCTCTCCCGGTCTCAGGAAACATAAATATATTCCCGGAACTACCAGGAGCAGCATTCCTCGAGAATGTTGTTTTGTTCTTCGCCGCCCTGCTCCATCGTCATTCCCTGATCCTCCGCCTGCTGCGGCTGCTCTTCATGCTACTCCCGCACCTCCCCCTTCCCCCTCCCCCCGCTCCCCTTCTCCTCCTTCTCACCCCCCTGCTTGTGGAGCTCCCTCCCGGTCTCTCGAAATATGTTCCCGGAACGCCCGCCGGGAACATAATTTCTTTGCTTGCGTTCGAGTGTTTCTTTTGTTCTTCGCCACCCTGCCCCTTCGTCTTTCTTCCCATGTCCTCCTCCTGCTGCGGCTGCTCTTCATGCTACTCCTGCACCTCCCCCTGTCCTTCTTCTACCTCCTCCTGCTCCCCCTGAACCTCCCTTCCTCCCGCTCCCCTTCTTCTCCTCCTCACCCTCCTTCCCTTCCGCCTACTCTTCATGTCCTGCTCGTC